TGACAGTTTTAATAAATATGTAAAAAAATACTTTTTATAAGAGTTACATACTGCAGGTTTAATTTCACTTAGGAGGGCACGGGTCAGGAAGGACGTGGGTTAGAACTGCTCCTGACTGACTCATATGTTAAGTGGTAAAAGGTACAAAGGACAAGTTAAATATATGAATATGTTGGTAATTTTCTTTCTTTAATTAAATGCTAGTGAAATGGAGGCAAACAGTATTCTGTAGCTAAGCTAACTATGCTAAATGGTTGATAATCTCAAACAGTATACTAACCTCTCTTGGAGAAAAACTGGGTTATAAATTGACACTCTTGTCTTTTTCTCTCTCTTATCTCTATTTTTTTTTTTGAAAATCTGACTTTATTATTTTTCTTAGCAGCATGGTAACTGCCACAGTTGTTCTTGTCTTCTACTGACTGCTGCTGAATACTGATACAGTCAAATGCACCAAGCAGGAACAAACCATTTCATGCAGACCCAGGAAGGTTCAGGGCAAATATGGATGTGTGTTTTTTAGACTGTGAATGGCAACATTTGATTTTTACTGCTAAAAACTATTTTAGAAAACACAATATGATTAATTTTGTAATTGACAGGGCCCCAAATTTTTTTGTAATTTCTATGAAAGAAAAAAAAAATTGGTGGAGGGCCCCCTGTCGGTCAGGGGCCCTTGGAATTGTCCTAACTTTTCAGCACCCCAGTTACCATATTAAATCATATTTTTAAATAGAATGTTTGCTTACTCATCAAAGATCCTAAGATTTTATTTTAACAGTTCAGTGTAAACTTTAACATAATTTCTGAACTGCGAGCCACTATTTTTTTCAGACGCTTTGAACACTGCACTGCGGCAAATATATTGGTTTTCACCAACGGGTTTGGAAAAGCTGGACTGCTGCTTGATGAAGAAGACGGCAGGAGCTGAAGCATGAATTTGCCTTGAGACGAAAGTGATGTTGAGATGAAAGAGAGGAGGTTGTTCAATTCTGATACAGAAGTAGACGACTTTAAAACTAAATGAATCTATTTATCTGGTTGTCAATTTTTGTAAATGGTACTGCTATCTTGCCAGGTCTCTCTTGAAAATAAATTGTAGATCTCAATGAGGTTATCACTCTCACCTCATGAGTTTAATCCATTCAGGTGTGTTTATTTGGCCTGATGAATCCAGGAGCTTGCTATCCCTCAACAAATCTAGCTGTTAATGATTTGACAATCTTTGATGACTGGGAAAGTCCCCAGGTTTTAGATGATGTTACAGTGCAAACAAGAGATGAATTTATTGTGGTGTTTTTTCTCTGGGTCTGATGATGTCAGCAGCAGCATTAATGAGATGACTGAACCAATGTCTAGTATGTAGTGGGTAAGGGTTGGATGTTCAGACATCTTGATAGCCGATGAAAACTGTCTGTGTGTGATGTTTAATTTAAGGAAATAGAATAGGATCACCCCGTATGAGCAGATGAATTGTAATGGGCACTGCTGTCAGTGTAGATGTAATATCACAGTATTTGAAAACTATAGGAGTCAATGAACTAACAAGCATGACTTTAAGTATATAAACAAAAATCACTGCCTTAGCTTCAGCAGCACAGGATATTTCACCTGAGGAAGTTCCTCTTCAAACACAAGTATTCAAATGGATAGCTTTAGCTTTATTGAAATATCTAAGTTTTTTCTTTCTCTTCCAGGTTTCTTTCCTGGGAATGCTCAGAGCTGTGAAGCCTTCTTGCGGCACAAGATGACTTTAATTTCACCCTCAATCCTCAAAAAATATGGTATACCATATGAGAAGGTAATCCACATTATGAGAAGGTAATCCATGTTTTCATCTCCACAGAGATGATAACATGTTTGTTCACAAGTCATACACTTTCAGCTTGCTGAATAAAAGGGGTGTGGCTTACATTAAGCGTGTCTTATATTATTTTAAATAAGATTTTACTGCTTTTGTTTTTAAACCACCATTTAAGTAAGCAGTATCTTCTCCTGCTTTTTAGCTTTTGCTTAATGTCTTTCAGCTCCATCTTGTCAGTTGTTGTAGCTGCAGGGTGAGTCAAGTACAAATCATGTGGGATTCAATTCAAAAATACTTTATTGATCCCAAAGGGAAATTAAATAGTCTTATAACTTGCTTAATTAAAGAGTTAATGTCAATGCTGATGACTGTGGTCTCTGCGGTTTCTGTTACAACGAAGCCTCTGTTGTAACAGAGGCTTCGTTACAACATATAGTTTTAGTTGACTATATAAAAAAAGTCAGGTGGAATATAAAAAGTATGCATCTTCTCTTTTTTCTGTTATGTTAGGTCACTCAGGAAGCTGGGCAGTTCATTGTGACTTTTCCATTTGCTTATCATGCTGGTTTCAACCACGGTTTCAATTGTGCTGAGTCCACCAACTTTGCTACACAGCGATGGATTGATTATGGAAAACAAGCTAAATTGGTATGTGATCTACAGCCTCTTCCACACAAGTAAAGCAGGTCAAAGTGAAATGTCTAATTTGCAAGTATTGAGGTCGTGGCACTGCCTAGAGATACAAAGGAGTAAATCAAAGGATCATACCAAAAGGGCTAGGAAAAGACAAGTTAACCAGGTGTCATAAATATTGTTTATTAATCTTATATAGACCTGTCATGATAAATGATAAATCAATTAATTGCACGATAAATTAAACCAATCGACCTCATTTTAATTATCGGCTTTATGGTCTCTTCCTGCTTTTTTTT